GGGAGGGAGGGAGGGAGGATGGACCGGCCAGGTAGAAGAGTGGCTGCCCATGGCTTCCAGGTCTCTGTACCAGATGCCTATGGAGGATAGGGTTGCTCCAGCCCTAGGGCTGAAGGAGGGCCAGACAGAGCCGGCCAAGAAGGTCTGCTAGTGCAAGTAGTCATCAACTCTGGCAAAGGAGCAAGAGCCCAGGCCTGCTCGGGCCATGAGCCGTAGACATTCAGATGCCTGGCCCAGGGCAAGCATCAGAGGAGGCTGCTTTGGCAGGTTCTGAGACTCTGTGGAGGAGATTACAAGGTATGGTTAATACCTAGCCAAGGACTTGGGCACAGGTCAAAATTCCTAAAAATGGAAGGTGAAATTATAGCTATGGATAGAACTCTGGGAAGAGTGTTCAATGTTTGAGTGTCCTAGCCACCAGGCCATGGACCTGCTTTCATGATAGGACCTTGGCCTTCTCTAGAGCAAGTAAGCTGGCCTGGCACATGGCAATGAGCTAGCAGCCAATGACCTCAGCTGGGCAAGGGAGATTAGGGTTAGGATTAGTCCTAAAAGCCCAGGAGCCCTGTGAGGGTCTATGCCAGCCTTCACACCCATGGGTTAGCTTTTACCTTTATTAGATGCACTCACCTAAAATGGCGCTGTTGAGAGCAGCACACACGGGCTCCCTCTGGATGGGATCAAGCTGATGACCAACTGGGCAGCTCCAGGGGTCTGAGTATGCTAGGAGGCTAAAGGCATCCTAAGGGACAGAGCACTGTGAGGGGAATGTAGCACACATAGTCCTGTAGCTTCAGAGGAGGACAGAACACAGCATGGGACCCAGTGAGAGCTCAATATATCAATATACCTGGGCTATATAGAGTTAAGACACCCCACACTGCACTGTAGATATGACTAGAGGCCATTCTGTCCTATTTCTACCACCCTTAGATGTTCCCAGAGCTCCAGCAACAGATGGAGATGGCTCCATGTGAGAGCCTGGCTTATCCTGTACCTGAAGCATCTCTGTGTGGGCCAAGTTCTTGCCGTACTCTCGGCCCAGCTGCTCACTCAATGCCTGCAACTCTCGACCAAACAGGATGATCCTTTCTGTGGCAGCCTGGTTGCCCCCGCAGAGCTGCCGCCGTGGACGCCCATCGTCTGCACACAGAGGCCAGCGGAAAACACATTAGAGGGTGAAGAGGGAAGGACAACAAGGACCCCGTTAAGCTACAGCTTCTGAAAGGCAGGCAAGCTAGGAGAGCAAGTGGAGAAGCCTGCATCTACCTGGCATATAGACCAGGGGCGAGACTTGGAAACTTGCCTCTTCCCACCCTACACAAATGATGGTGCTAATGAGATCCACATTCTTGAACTCCCTTCAGCCTTGGGTTCTAGTCTTGGCAGAAGGAACGGACCTTCCTACACACTGGAATCCATCTTAAGGATGCATCCAGAAATGACCAAGACATGCTAGACTCAGTCCAGCTAAAGTTTCTCAAGCTGCCAGAGCCTGCCATTTTAGCCTCTCCTCAGAGGAAGTGGGCATTAGGACTGTATGTTGCCCTCTCAAGGAACACAGGAGCTGAGTCATCCTAAGATCAGCCCTTACCCATGCTGGACTCATCTGTCTGCAGGTCGTCGTGCTTATAGGCCCCATTGACGATGCGTGTGGATACGCTTTCCAGCACACCATTGGGATAGTGCTCTGCCTCCATCTCCATCTCGCTGTCACTGTGGAGCAGGGTTGAGACACGAGTTGGGACTCCTTGAAGTTTTGTTAACCACCACTTCAGGTAAACTGAAGGAGTTTACCTGAGAGACCACAGCAGGTCCTATAATGGCATCGAACTGAAGGACTGCTAGGAACATGAAAGAACAGCCCAAACTTTCTAGGCTTCAAAATTAGCCCTACTATGGTTATCTCCAGGTGCCTGTTACATGATTCCCATTCTAGTCTCAAAGCTGCCCCTGTGAGTCTCTTCTCATTGGCTCTCCTCTAAGGTTATATATGTCTTCAATGTATCCCTCTCATCCCTACCAACTGAACTGACTAGATATCTCTGTAGTCTTGGCTAGGACCCAAACCAAGGTCACCTTCTAGGCATGCCTAGGACCTGTTGAATGCTATCTGGAGCTGCAGTCTACAGGCCAGTCACATGGCTGTCCATGAGCCTGAGTCCACAAAACTCCTTAACTGTAGACCTTAGAAGTTCTAATACGCCCAGCCTCCTGGGAAGAGGCCCTGTGTAGGCAGGCCATCATGTTCAAATTTGGCAGGGTCAGCAACTCCAGACAAAACCAGAGCCAAGAAAATTGACAGCTACATGTTGAATAGGGACAAAAGCCAGAACCACGAGTTTGGCCTGACCTGTCAGCAGGTTGCAATCCAGCCACAGACCTACAACAGAGGTGAGGGTAAAGGGCAGAGGGCAGCGTCTGAAAGAACAGAGGTGGGTCCAGCAGGCACAGAACAGAAGCAGAGCGGAGAGAGGAGCAAGCCAGGCACCTGGTCTCCTGGTTACTGGTACTGCTGTGGGGCTGGGACTTGGTCGAGTCTGTTGAGTTGGACTCGGAGTAATTGACGGAGGACGGGGAAGAGGAGGACGAGGAGGATGAGGACGAGGAGGAGGAGCTGGGTGCGGGGTATTTACTGTGGTTCTGTTTGTTCTTGGTGGACGCGATGCCATTGCTGCAGCTGGGACTGTCTGCTCCTGAGAGGCCAGGTGGGTCAGAGAAAGGGAGGTCAGAAGTGGAGCCGCAGGGATTGCCTGAGTGGTCCCTTTCCCTTCCACACAATCTAGCTGCCAGTTCTAAGCCCACCACAAGGAAAGGTATATGGGATGGCCACTCTTCCCCACACCAGCTCTTCCCAAAGAACTCTGGGGAATGGCTGACCTGTGCTGTGTATATGGGAACTACTGGGGCCATGTCGGGGGCTGAGGTTGGGGGAGCCAGGGTAGCTGTCCTGAGACTTGGGGCTTCGGGAGCTCAAGCTGCGGACCTCACTGTCGGTGCCATTCACCATCTCCACGAACTGTCGACACCTGTGAAGGGAGCAGAGCATTAATGCTCTGGCCTGGCCCACACTATGGGCTCTGGGTGCAAGCTGAGGGCCAGGCTCAGAACCGTAAACATGACTTACTTGAGCATGAAAAGCAGGTTGGGGTTGTGCTCCAGCAGCCCAGGATAGAACCGCTGGGTTGTCTCAATGGCTTCACCCACCCGGCCTTCCAGCACCAGCTTCTGGATTTCTGTAGAAAAGCACATGGCTCTGAGTGAGGGCTGAGATTGCCTCCATAGCCCTGGCTCCAAGCCTGGGTTATGGCCAGACTGAAGGCAGGGGCCAGACAGAAGTCAGGTGGGCTGGCTCTTGGCACCCTGCTAGTTGGAGAAGCTCACAGAAAAGGCTGAGAGAATATGGTTGTCCAGGACCACGGCAGAGACTGGCTTAGAATAAGAGGGAAGAACAAGAAGAGCTCACAGCCCAGAGGTTGGAGGTGAGTCTGGAAATCCACTCCTGCAGGGCATAGGCAGCCAGGGAGCTAGTGAGGGGAGGCATCTTGGGACAGCCTGAAGATGCCTCTTTAGATAGACTGTTCGCTCTTCAGGCCTCATGGGAGTGTCCACTGGCTTGGGCTAGGGCCCACATCTTGACAATCTGTAAATGCTGTAGTGTGCTCTCTACTGGGAGAAGAGGTAGACTACCTCATACTGGCATCTCTAGTGATGGCACTTCTGTGGCCAACAGCATCTTGCTATTGTCTTCTGACTCTTGTCCTAGGGCCTGGTGCATCTTATTGTGGTATCTGGGCCTGAGGCTCTCTCATTTGTAGAACCCAAGTTAAAAATAGAACACCTGGGTGCTGGAGAGATGGCTCAGTGGTTAAGAGCACTGACTGCTCTTCCAGAAGTCCTGAGTTCAATTCCCAGCAACCACATGGTGGCTTACAGCCATCTGTAATGGGATCTGGTGCCCTCTTCTGGTGTGTCTGAAGAGAGTAACTGTACTCACATAAAATAAATAAATGTTTAAAAAAAAGGAAGAATAGAGTACCTTTCCAACTATCTGGCTGAGCACAGCTTGTCTAGGAAGACACAGACACAGACACAGAGATGACAGGCTCAGAGACACAAAAGCAGGCACTCACAGACACATTCATATGCACGTGTCCACTCACCCACACTGTCCTCTCCTCCTATCTTAAACTGTGTTGGTTCTGTTCTCTATCCCACCCCTCCTTCCATTAAAATGTTCCAAATACACAGAATACTAGGAGAGCTATCTTTGGTCAAGAAAGAACTGGTTATCTGCAAAAAAACAGGACAAGAGGTAGGGAGCAGGGAGCTACCATGGCAGCAGTCACAGAGCACCACTTCACCCTGTCTGAGCAGAGGCCTCTCTCTGGCTACAGACAGGCAGAAGAATGGTTAACCCTGAGTACACAGCGGCAAAGGCAGAACAGTGTGTAGTACACAAACAAAGACGCCTTCCAGGGGACCATGAATAGGAGGCCAAGTAGAATCTAGGATTCAGGGGACAGGGAAAAGAAACCAACATGGAGGAACAGGATTCTGCCATGACAGGACCAGGCCTACACTTGATTTCTGTGTGTTAGGGAGGCTGCTCTGAGACCTTCTGAGGCCACTGGCTGCCCTTGTGTCAGTTTTATCTTGAATGAAGGACCGGAGCAGGGACCGGAGCCATAAGTTGGTCTCCAGGATGGTACAGATAAGGTTAAGCTATACTCTTGACAGACTAACCAGGAATGAGCTATAGATTCAGGGGCAGGTAAGAAGGCATGAAGAGAGAAAAATTAACCTTACTTTGTCTGTTCTTTATGGATGCCTGCTCTTCCTGAATCGGGGTTTCAGTCATTCGGGCAAAAGCTGTAGCTGTGGCACAATACCCATGATGGACCAGGTAAGACGAGACCATGCTAGAAAAAAAGAAGAGCTCAAGGTAACACTCAAGACTCACATTTCTCATGGAGCACTGAAGGGGACAGACTACATATATCCCCAAGAGGTCTCCCCTACGCATACCTTGGTGTGACCTGGAAGGGGTAAAGAATAAGACCTTCCCTCTGTGCGCTCACAGACCATAGGAGTGGCTGCAGATTTCTGGGATATGTTGCCCTGAAGCTTGTAGAAATGGCTATCTTCTGGTAGACGGCAGCAAGTCCAGATCTAGTCAATGAGCTTACCCAAGGCAACTTAAAATGGCAGCTAGCCAGGCAACTCGGCAGCTGCCAGGATACAGAGGACACCTGACACAGCCACACTGGATAGAAGTACTAAACGTAGGCAACTGGTCAGAAAAGTGGGGTGCTACTCTGAGCTATCTGCACTAGTCAGAAGTAGCCGTGGCGCCCCCAGTGAGCCTGCCATTTGGTAGCACTGACTCTAGAGCTGTGGTTCTCTACCCGTGGGTCACAAGCCCTTTGGGGATCACCTATCAGATAAACTGAAAATCAGATATTTACATTGTGATTTGTAACAGTAGCAAAAATATAGTTTGAAGTAGCAAGGAAATAATCTTATGGTTGAGGGTCAGCACAACATGAGGAACATATTAAAGGATCATAGCATTAGGAAGATGAGAACCTCTGCTCTAGAGGAACAGGAGGACTATGGGCCAAATTAACTTCATAATATACCATGTATCAAAAATGCACAAATTCATGATAATAGGCTGATTTTGCTGGGAGAAGACAGGCACAAAAGAAAGTTAATAGGAGCAGAGTCTTTGTGGAAGAGCATAATGTACAACAACAATTTAACCCCACTAAAGCTGGCTGGGCAATGCCATATGTATGCATGTACATGCATATGTACAAAGATGAGCTCTCATGACCTGTGTGGACACATATGGGGAGAATGTTCTAAGGCTGTACACCTGTGGCTGGCTGGTTTCTTATGTTTATGAGATAGTATAAACAAAATGCTTGGCATGAACTCAAAGAAATGTAACCTTTTATTAAAGAATACATTCTTTTAAAAAATATTACACTCCTATGTTATTTTGGTGTCAGCTTTTCAATAAAGTTTTAATTTTAGACTAAAATATTATACTCTTGCAGAGTTATTGTAACTATTATTATCATAAACAAGAACAATGTATTTTGGGGAAAAAAAACATGGTTCAGATGAGCCCATATAAACATTCATAATTCTAAAATGTATTTTCTCGGGGCTGGAGAGATGGCTCAGTGGTTTAATAGCACTTGGTGTTCTTGCAGAGGACCTGGATTTGGTTCCCAGCACTCATACAGTGGCTCATAGCCTGTTTGTAACTCCAGTTCCAGGGGCTCTGATACCCTCCCTCTTCTGGTCTCCACAAGTACCAGGCACACACACAGTACACATACATATCTATCTATAGGCAAAACACTAACACATAAAATAAGTAAGTTTCTAACAAAATAAACATAGTTTAAATTAAGAACACTATTTTGGAGGACACCAAAGTAAACTTTAAGCCCTTCTTATTTCCTTATTATTTCATATATTCGAGTGTTCGCCTGCATGTAAGCATATGCACTGTTAAGTATGGCTGGTGTCTACAGAGTACAGAGAAAGTGCAGTATCCTCTGGAACTGGAGTTTGATCGGTTGTAAGCTGTCATGTGGATTCTGGGAACCAAACCTGATCCTCTACAAGAGCAGCAAGTGCTCTTAACCGATGAGCCATATTTCTAGTCCCAGAAAGTAATGTAATATATATAAATTTCTTTATTATAAAAGTATTACCTATGCCAGCAAAAGAAATGGGCTGGGGATTCAGGTCAGCAGTACTGTGGCTGCCTAGCATGTATGAACATCTGCATTCTATTGCTATCACAGAGAGTGAGGAGAGAGGAGGAGGAGGAAGGGGAGGGAAGGGAGGAAGAAGATGATAATACCCGAGTCTCACCAGAGGAAGCCAGCCAGACATGAAGCTTGTGACAAATCTATCTCTAAGATAACCCAGCCACTTCCAATATTTATAAAATTATGTGAAATAACAGGACACAACTATACGCAGGTTTTAGCAAATGCTGCATAGGACACATACAGGCACATGGATACATACATATAAACAAAAAACTTCCATGTGTTGAGCCCAAGCCCTGAAAGTTAACTGTACCTCTTCTCCTGCCCAGCCAAAAAGCATACTGTGGGGAATGACATTGTTGTGGCCCCAAAGAAAGCGATTCTCACCTGCTAGGCTGGGAACCAGAGGTGGTCATGCTGTTCTTTCCACCAAAGGTCTTTCTATCTGTACCTCAACCCTTCCTCAAGACTGCTCAATCCCTCAAGAAAGGAAGGCTGAACACTGGGGATATGACTCAGTGATAGTCCTTTCTTAGCATATGTAAAGCCCTGAGTTCAAAAGAAAGATTAAAAACAAACAAACAAACAAACAAACAAACAAACCCAAAAAACCGGGCAGTGGTGGCGCACGCCTTTGATCCCAGCACTTGGGAGGCAGAGGCAGGCGGATTTCTGAGTTCGAGGCCAGCCTGGTCTACAGAGTTCCAGGGCAGCCAGGGCTACACAGAGAAACCCTGTCTCGAAAAATCAAAAAAAGAAAAAGAAAAGAAAAAAAGAAAAGAGAGAGAGAGAATGAAAGAAAAAAAGAAAGGAAGGAAGGAAGGAAGGAAGGAAGGAAGGAAGGAAGGAAGGAAG